AACCCACATGAAGAGGACTGAAAGCCAGCAGGCGGAGGGATGGGGGAAAATTATGAGAACTGAGGAATCACTGGGCAGCACAACTGCTTCAAACAGAGCCCACCACCACCCGACCCCTGCCCCGTACAGTCTTGTCTTTGCTAATGAGATGGAAAAATTATGAAGTCATTTTTTAAAGGCTACCCTGACACAAACACCAGTGCTGAGGGGCTGGGATTAGAGAAGGGCAGAGTTTGTGAGTGACACAGGAATTGATTAATTATAATTACAGGAAGAGGTGAGTTACGCAGCGCACAATGAATTCCTTGGCGAGATGGACTCCTATGGACATGCACTGTAACGGTGCCAAACGCGAGGTCGCGCTTCCAGGAACCAGGAATGTAGGTCACACTTCAGGGACTGTTTCCAAGAACGTGGGGAGACCAAAAGGATCCAGGAGTCGCGGTGACAGCTGTGTGACCCAAGACCCAGGGTGATGCTACAGCACGGGAGCTGGCATCACTCCGGTGGGCATGAGGAAATGGGCACGGCGAGAGGGATTACTCCAGTATTTGGCAGCAGGTGGGATACCACTCGCATCTCTTTCTTGACTTACAGGTAAACAGAAAAGCAGAGGGAGTTGAAAGAAGAACTGCACAGACGAAAGGAAATCTGGATTTGACAGCCCCCCAAATTCATTTAGTTTCTTTCATCTGCAAGAGGATTTAGGAGTGATTTAGTTGCAGCCTACAAGTGTGAGTATGAGGAAGAGAGGTCAAAATTACATTCAAAAATTACTGCTTCTCATTGCTGCTTTGCCCTCACCACCACCATCCCAAATCTCTTTGCAGCCCTCTGAACATGGCTCACATCTTTACGGCCACCATGGTATCTGATCTAGATTTAAATAAAGTTGATAAGCAAGTGTGGAGATATTGTTCTGACAATGCGGCAGCGATTATGCCTGTAGGTTTTGAGGACTATATGCATCAAAGCAAGGCAAGGCTGGCTGATTACACAAAGGAGCCTTTCCTCGTGGTGAATGAAGACTCCTCCTCTTTCCAGCTCGTGCATGGACAACTGGCAAGACGCACGGCTTCTCTGCTGAGCTTTACCTATGTAAGACCTAACATGACTTGTTCAGCATCTTGCTGCAACGAGGCTCAGGAAGACTGACTAGGTTGGATCCCACCTCTAACTTGGAACATTGGAAGGGAGAAAAGGCCTCCAAGCCTCCAGTAGCACCAGCAGCTCTCTCTTACCCAGGTGCCCAGGTAGATCAGCAGATCATGCAGAGACAGAAGAACGGAAGAGTTTGACCCCACTGAAGCTGTCAGGTGTCAGGCTCATGGCCAACAAGTCTGTGGTTAACAGGTCACCTACCAGCCCATCTGCTGGAGACAGCATCTCTGCTAAGCCCATGTAGACATCTTTCCAGTGCGTGGTAGATCCTGTCCTCTGTGCACGTGGTGTGCTGCATTTTAATTCATCTCCTAAAGAGAGAGAAGGAAGAGAGTTAATACACTGGGCCTTTAGTTAAGTGCAAGAAAGAGAGCGCTGCAACACTTCTACTGCAGCACAGACAAGATGTTCCTGGTGAAACACCACCCCATTACTGCCTCCTGTCACCCTTTCCAACACCAAAGGCAACGATGCACCGCACTCTGCTAGCTGTCATCTTCCCCCCTGCTCCTGCAATCCCTCCCAACCATGGCAAAGAAAAGGAGGTGCACACATCCGCGACGTGATCACGAGAGGCTGTGGGGCCAAGGCACCCTCCCCCTGACCTGCTGCAGGCATATCTGCCTTCTCACAACTTCCGTCTGTGGGACAGATCAAGTCTCGCTCACGTGTTTGTGGCAAGGAGGTAATCTTGGGTTAGCCTCCATCGAAGATAAAACTGCAAGAGATTACAGCTGCAGCACCTTGCAGCGGGGTCAATGGGAATCATAGAACAGCCCTGGAAGGAACAGGCTGGAAGGAATCTCAAAAGATCATCTGGTCCAACCTGAGAAAAGCGAGGGCAGAGCCCAAGCTCCTACTCCTTGCGTTAGGCATGGATTGTCCTTGACAGCTCTACTGTCCGCTGGTGATGGTCACAAACCCACTCCCAAGTGCTAACCTTGTAGCAGCCGGGAAAGCCTCTGGTACCGTCACCTTGCTGCCACACAGCCAACGTGAAGAACAGGTCCACGTGCCCTTGTGGCAATGCAGGAAAATACAGAGGGGGCTGAGGTCCCAACATCTGAGGACATTGTGAAACTGTGGATTGCGTGCCTGGCTGCAACTTTTTCACAACACGGCTCTGTGCATCTCACCTCTCCTCCACGGCTCAGGGTGCAAACCTAAACCTTGGGCTGGCAGAAACTGAACGGGGGAGGGGGGCGGATTTTATCCCACTCTATTCATCTGCATCTGTCTGGGACACCATGAATATAAAAGCAACTTGCCCAGAAGGTTTACTTCTCAAATCTGCCCCGACCATGAGCAATCAAAGAGGTGCCTGGGCAGAGATTCCCTCCTCCCCTGCAGTGCCAGCCCTGGCGTCCAGAGGGACCCTGGGGCAGGCGCCTCCCCTCTCCCAATGCACAGAGAAGGGTTCATCCCACAGACTCTTTGCCTCTTGGTTAGAAGCAACACAAATGCACAAAAATAATCCAGGAAGAAGAAACAAAACCTGCCAATGCTACAAAGAACACCTGCCAAGGAGGCCTTTGCTTTCATCCCGGACAGCACGCTCCTGTACCTATGCCACACGCTCCTGCAGTTCCCAACGCTACCCCAAAATAGCCGATTCTTTGCTTATCTGGTCAACGTTTGACGCTTAGCATTCAGTAGTGGCTGCGCCCATCACAGCTCCCCACCTCCACCCTGGCAGGAGCAAAAGCTGCTGTGATCTCAGCAGAGGTTCCACCCAGCACCCCCTGCTTGGTGCACTCAGCATGGCCACCTCCACCCACACTTAATTCCCAGCAATTCCCCCAAAACGGCTCAGTAAAGCCGTGCCCGGCCGCTGGGGCTCCCCGAGAGCCAAGGGAGTGGCAAGGCCAGCTCCAGCCTTGCCACTTGGTCCTTCCTACGCTGGAGAGAAGCCACCGATGGCTCCAAACAGGTGAAAGCAAACACAACAAGGGACCACTGACCTGCCAAATGCAAGCTCTTTCCTTTACCCCAAAGAGGCTCATGGGCTCCTGCCTCTTGTGTCCCGCTGGCACAGCCTGTTATTACGGTCTTCACCAAAAGTTTTACATCCACAGTGCGTGCGCAAGGAATGCCCGAGAAAAGCTCTGCCACGGTGCCGAGGACTGAATGAGCGGGGAATCTGCACATCAGCACCTTAGTCATGACTTGTGGCAAGAGGAAAGCAGTGACTAAGAGCACAGCGTGACTCATAAGCACCCTTTACAACACCCCACTCACAAAAATACACCTCCCCGCACGTCAGCTTGTTTTAGAGCACAGCTCGATCCTTGGAGGGGAGCGCGCTCCTCACCGCACGCTCAGGGCGAGCCAGGCGCTGGCCCAGCCATCCCTTCCCGATGCCTCTCATATCCCAGCACAGAACAGGCAGGGAATTTAAGGACAAAATAAGACAGAGATATTACCATAACTTTCAAACCACAAAAACAGTCTTTGTGGTTTTTTTTTTCCTGGTGTGCTACGGACCACACATGAATCTAAACCTCCTCTCCCAAGGCAGTGCTTATGGAAGCATCTTTCATGGGAGAGGACTTGGTTTGTCCACCACAACCGAGCAGAAACTTCTCAACCTCTTCTACTGTTTATTCCCCAAACTCTCCCTTCCTTTCCACCCACGCTGAGCAAAATGACAAGGCAGGGACAGTTCTGGAGGACGTAATCAGACTTTCCAAGGAGCTCTGTTAAGCATCACAAGAGCACTAGAAAAAACGCATGTTGAGGTCAAGGTTTTTAATCAATGCTTTGCAATCGTTTATGAGGGTGTTGAGCAACTTTGCGGGAAAAAAAAAAAAGTCCCTTCATCATCTCCCTCCAGCTGGACTCCCAGTAGCAGAGCTGCTAAACCAAGAGCTGCTTTGGCAAAACCGCGAGGTGCAAGGTATTCGGGGCAGGTGGGAGGGACGGCGCAGTCACTGTGCGGTGAACTGCTTGCGGTCACGTTTCACAACACACCCGGAGCAAGCGCTGCGAGCAGTCATGCCCCGGCAGCCTTCGGGGATACCCTCGTCACCGAGGCTGGCTGCTGCTCTGCGCATTTCCAAGCTGAGCAACATGCTGCAAAAGATGAGGGTTCCCCTGCCTTCCCCCCAGTTGTCAGTAACACTTTCAAGAGAGCACAACCACCACACAGGGAAGAGAGAAGGGTTTTGATGGACCAGTTGAGACAAAACAGCAGGGAGGGGTAACAAGAGACCTTCCAGCATCGGATTGTCACAAATCTCCTCTGCAGCTCTGCAGGCAGCGCAACACGGTGCTCACACATCTGTTCAGCCCCTATGTGAAGCATCTAGAGAGATTGCTCCTATGAGGCAGGAACAGAGGGGACACCACAGCAGTTGTGAGGAACAACCTCAGGCAACAACCTGAGTATCACGCTTGGACAAGGCATTAACTACCTCTCTTCGGAGAGCCTATCGCGTATGGAAAAGTGCAGCCAGACCGATTGCCACTCCTGCTCGGCACAGTCTTAGCAAGAGCTGAGCAAAGCAAGCAGAAGGGCTTTATCCCACCACATCTCACTCACACATCGGACCCCAGCCCTACAAAAGCAAGCTATGGGACTTCAAGCCCTGGATGTTCTCTAAGATGAGATTGGTTTCCCTTCTCCAGTAACTTTACACCTTAAAAGCAGCCTTCAAACACCATGCAAACCATACAGTCACCATTTAAGAGGCAGAGAAGCCAATGTTTGGAAAAGTTAAGCAATTTTTCTGCTGTCCCACAGCAACTTGTGGCACAGCTGGGAGCAAGTCTCCAGCTCTCCACGCACGTTCCTTACCTTCCATGCCATCCTCCTGCCACCTGCAGTATCAGCACAGTCAGAAAGGACTGGACTTCTTGCAAGAAGATAGCTAGATCTCACCTAGAGTCCCCATCGCCTCACACCGCTCTGGTCCATACACGTAGCTGACCAACCAAGATAAACATCTACCATCGCACATCCCAAGAAACACCTTCCTCCCTCTCTCTCTCCCAAGCAGGACAGCCGCCCACCATCAGCAGGGTGCATCTGCAGACCGCCCCGATGGAGGTGGCAAGAGGAACTGACAAAGACCGAGAGGGGAACCAGGAACCTGGGAACTACAACCGCACCGATCAGGGCACAGGGAGGTGGCCGGCTCACAAACAGCTCCAGGACGAGGCAAGCAGAAAGCAAGGCTTGCTCTCGTTAATGTTGCATCATGTCGGTAATGTTATGGCACTCTCGGCCACAGTGGTGACAACATTTAAGCCCTCTGGTTTTAAGAATCCCATGTCCTCAGGGAAACCAATTTGCCTTGAGGTTTTGCCCTGTTTTTGACAAATGGCCAACAATTAGCAAAGTCACGGGCGTGGGGCAAAGTTGAACCTGCCCCCTCAGAAGGCCTGATTGCCCAAAAGGCACCTGATAATCTCCTAAGACAAAAAAATAATGATTAAAGTGAGTGAGAAAAGGCATAGCCCACCAAAACTCAGTTTGGAAAGTATCTTAAGAGTATTTGGGAAATTGTCCCAGCACCTTGCATGGATGCAAGATCTTTGGAGAATTTCCATCTGAGATTGCTTAGTTAGAAGTCTTCATTCATCTCTGTCACAGTTAAAAAGGTGGACAGATAAATTACAATGTTCCTGTTGACTAACATCAAACAGGTAAACATTCATCCCTTGGTGAAAAGCAGGAATTTGCTGATCATTGTTTTTAGATTTTCACTTGTTGTCCTGCTTTGAGGCACAAGGTTTGCAAAAATCCCGAAGTTTTCAAAGAATATGAAAAAAACCAACACCAACAAAAAAGAATGTATTTTCCTGCTGGGCTGTGAAGCCCGAGGCCATGGGGAGACCTCAGGGAGTCACAGCTCTATGACAGGGGCTTTCCACTCAGCTGGGACAGGCTGTGGTTCCCCCACTTGCCTTCACCACCCTGGGACCTTTCCCTTTCACAGCTTTTCTCCTGCTCAGTATCAGAGCAAAGGAGAACACCTCAACTCCTTCATGTCCAGGATGATGCTGCCCCAGGAGCAGAAGGTCCCTCTGCACACAGCAGCCAAGTCGAGGAGATGACTGAGGCCATTAGCAATTCCCACATGGTTGGGACAGGGCACGTGAGAAGCTGAATTGAGGGCACATGAAAAGCTGAATTGGGGGTCACACAGCCTTTTCTGCAAGGAGAAGCACTTTTCTTCTATTAAGGTCCACATGAGTCCTATCTTCAACATCCAAAGGACTTCTCTGATCTCTTTCTGTAGTGGTGGAGCCCAGGACAAGTGAAAGAGCTCAAAGATCAAGTCCAAAGTTGGTGTT